CTGTACAACTTGGCACTCCCACCAGCAGTGGAGAAGTGTTCCCCTTTCTCCACATCCTCTCCAGCATGAACTGTCATTGGTGTTTTTGATTTTGGCCATTCTGACAGGAGTAAGATGGTATCTCAGAGTTGTTTTGATTTGCATTTCCCTGATGGCTAAGGATATTGAACAGTTTCTTAAGTGTCTTTCAGCCATTTCAGATTCCTCTATTGAGAACTGTCTATTTAGTTCTGTACCCCACTTTTTAATTTGAATGTTTGGTGTATTGGAGAAAAGCTTCTTGAGTTCTTTGTATATTTTGGAGATCAGCCTTCTGTCAGATGTGGGGTTGGTGAATATCTTTTCTCAGTCTGTGAGCTGCTGTTTTGTCTTACTGACTGTCTCCTTTGCCTTACAGAAGCTTCTGAGTTTCAGGAGGTCCCATTTATTAATTGTTGACCTTAGTGTCTGTGCTACTGGTGTAGTGTTCAGGAAGCAGTCTCCTGTACCAGTTAATTCAAGGGTATTTCCCCATTTGTCTTCTAATAGGTTCAGTGTATCTGGATTTATGTTGAGGTCTTTGATCCATTTTGACTTAAGTTTTGTGCAAGGTGGTAGGCTAGGGTCTAACTGCAGTCTTCTACATGTCCGCAACCAGTTATGCCAGAACCATTTGTTGAAGATGTTCTCTTTGTTCCATCATATAAATTTGGATTGTTTATCAAAATCAGGTATTCATAGGTGTATGGGTTAATATCAGGGTTTTCAACTCTATTCCATCGGTCTACCTGTCTAATTTTGTGCCAATACCAAGCTGTTTTCAGGACTATAGCTCTGTAATAGAGCTTGAAGTTAGAGATGGTGATGCCTCCAGAAGTTCCTTTGTTGTACAGGGTTGTTTTGGCTATCCTGGGTCGTTTGTTTCTCCATATAAAGTTGAGAATTGTTCTTTCAAGGTCTGTGAAGATTTATGTTGGGATTTTGATGAGAATTGCATTGAAACTGTAGATTGCTTTGGGCAAGATTGCCATTTTTTACTATGTGGATCCTACCTACTATCCAAGAGCATGGGAGATCTTTCCATTTTCTGGTATCTTCTTTAATTTTTTTTTTTT